TTCCAGGATTCTCCACATGCCTTTCAAATGTCCTACATTCTGACATTCTGGTCCACATTCCAGGATTCCCCACATGCCTTTCAAGTGTATGTCCTACATTCTGGACCACTTTCCTACGAAGTGAAAATTCCAGGAAACCCTGGCGACATTGTGGAAATTGAACAGATTCACAACTGAGCAGACACATGCTGATTCATATTCCTGTTCATGCCCGGCCCGAGGCTAATTGCCAGTTACAAGCATAAAAGAAGAGCAGTATATATAAAATAACTAAAATCTACAAATGAAAGGTATTTGTCTAAAATTATAGCTATGTCTAAAACTATGTCTGAAGGGTTTGACTTCTCTCTTGTAAAGACTTGTAAACTGAAGAAAGTCAGAGTCTTTCTCAGCATTTCCCCCAACATGTTCAGGGTCACAATGTTGATTCGGAATGCCACAAAGAGGAGTATCCATTGTGATCTAATACCGGTATGTCTTTAAGTTTAACACGTTGCAGTAAAGTTAGTCTACGGGTATTTGTTGGAAGGCTTTGCTGTAAGAGGAGAGCATCCATTTGAAGGGAGTGTGAGGTTGTGCCCATTTGGACCAAGCATCTACCTAATTCTGCTCTACATACAGGCGACATTGCTACTATTTCTAAATAGATAAAATAAGAATTCTAGGAATTGTACAGGCATTTTTGTCCACAGGCAAGCGGAATGTCCACAGGCATGCGGAATGTCCACAGGCATTTCTCTGACCCACATCTATGCCCGCATTCCTGGAACCCTGAAGACCTGCCTGCCCCAGATGGTCATACTTTCTGTGACCCCGGGGCTCGTTCACTATGCACTCAGGGGAGGAGTGTACTGTATCTGTCTAGAAAAAAATCATGAAATGATGGCAGTGCCATGCAAACAATAACCCTAACAGCAACCACCGTCGCCATGGCAATGTATGTTTTCATTGCCAGTCTTGTTTGTGCCTGTCTCTTTTAAAAGCTGTCAATGTGTTAAATTATTGCTCAGGTAAACATTGTGTTGGAATAAAGTTACACATTTTACCATGTCATAATCAAAGCTTATGCAGAGATGAGACACTGATAATGGTCTCTATTTTAATGAGGAAGAATACAATATCAAGGGCCGTCCTTAGTCTTCTTCATACTGAGGTAGCCTTTGGTGCATGAGAGGGTTAGACAGCAGAGAGAAGGTTAAGAGAATAATTCCCTCATAGGTTAAACCTTTTAATTGTTTACAGGATTTGACCACAGGTATGGCATTGACTGGTAGATTCCAGCATACGAAGTTGATCTAAGTTAATCTAAGTGTATAAGGTAGATGAACCCTAACTGTCTGTTGAAACTTAACCTTGACTGATACGACCTTGTGTTCCAGGCTACCCTGAGCACATGCTGTTTGGTGAGTTCCGCCGCAGGTTTGAGGTGCTGGCTCCCGCAGGCGACAGGCCGAATGAACCTGTTCTGGATGAGAGAAAGGTGAGAGATTACTCGCTGCAACACAGATGTGAATGTTATTAGAAGTTGGCTAATGTATACACACTGATACCAGACTCTTCCATGTATATCACTATAAGTATACCTATAACTACATGGTCTGGTCTGTACCTATGTAAGAGCATAAATGTACTATAATAAAGGTCTTTCATTAATTAACTTGTCAGAGTAGAATGAAACGTATGGATATGTAGGGTTTCAATATCACAGGAGTATTGACAGCTTGCAATACCTGTAAAGGCCACAAGATGGCACTGTCTCAAAAGAGAAAGGAAAAGGGAAAAATGGCATTCCTTTTTATTACTGCAATGCTTAAAAGTCATTACAGTTGATATAAATACTATACGTAGTCTATACTTAAATGTTGTACAGAATTGGTTTGAAACATACTATGCTTCCCTTGAAATGCAATAATCCTGAAATCCACTAGATGGCACTCTTTACTCATCGTTCTTTCCCTTCCAGGCTGCAGAAGATCTCCTGTCACATCTGGACCTGGAGAAGACATCTTACAGGATGGGACTCTCACAGGTGGGTACAGGGCTTCTTCTGACAATACTAAAACAATACACAAGGAACACTCCTTACACAGGTTTCAATGTTAGTCAAGAACAGGTTTTGATAAAAGCTAGTTATGTTTTAAGTTAAAAGTACAGCAGTTAAGCTCTTTTCCCTGGTGATTGATTTCTTTTCCAATAGGTTGATCTATATGATATATTTGGATGCTTTGTCTCCTTTAGCACTGATCCCCTTGTTGTCTGTTGTTTTTTTAAAAGCATATTTTCTCAGTCATTCTGACACTCCTATAATCTCTAGTTGCCAGGATAATTGAGTCAAATTCAGCTGTTTGAACCAAGGAGGACCTCCAGTTGCTATTTTCTCTGCCAGAAAAAGATAAACAACGATTGTCACGAATTCCTCCCGTGCCCGCACACGGCGCGCAAACACACTTCACGCTGCGTACATACCAAACACGCAAACTGGTCTCCTGCCGATGTACCAAACTTGTCCATCTCACCTTTGTTGTCCAATCCCAAAGTTTGTTTCATCAGGCGCTGTTATTTTTCAACTCCCCACAGACTTAATTATAGTCAGGTATTCTCCAGTTGGGGTGAAGGTTGAACCAGTTTAGTTTCTCCTAACTACGTGCAAACTTGTCTGTAACGCTCGCTGTTGTTTGAAGCGGAACTTATTTTTCCACCAAGCTCCAAGTGTTTGTGATGTTCATATTCAACGCTGCCTCCATGTTGGATTAGTTGGGTTGTCAGGGCGTTGTCATAGCTGCACTCTAGTGTTTTTGTCAGAGTTGCACCGTGTCCTGAAGTATATATGGCCCACAACTATGTTGCCTGCTATAAGCTTAAAGCAAGAACATTTAAGGGTATGTACGTGGTGTTCAATGGTTTTGTGTGATTGTTTAGCCAGTGGTCAAAGTGTAGACTTAGTGTTACATAATATTTGCTTGCCATTGCTCTATGGTGTATTGAAACTTGAAGTAGAATTTTTGGCAAGCCAGTCATACCATGGTTTGTTCAAGGTCATAGATCAATTTTCACCTCTACTGTAAGTTAAAGAAAAACATGTAACTTTATTGGGATCTCTGTTGGAACCCCTTAATTTCCTGTCCATATTATTGAGTTACATTCTGTTAGAACCTTACTGGACCTATAGTTCTTTATTTTTGGCACTGTTGAATGAAAAGCGATACTGAAAACAAAGCTGATGCTAAATGACATTAGACGCAAAATCTGTCAATGCCAGACCTCACCTATAACTAACAAACAGAAACAGGTGGAAAAGAGCAGAAAAGAGGCAAGCTTATGAGGAAATGTGGGTCTGCGTGACACAGTCAAACAACAAATGTGAGCACCTGTTGTCCATGGAGATTTCCTGCCCTGGAATTTTCATCTCTTCCACAACATTCCCACCTTTATCACAGTGGAACAATCCTGTGAAGTCTGCAGAGTTCTTCATCACCTTAAAAGCTATTATCTCCTTGATGTTTGATGTAGTCCTCCTGTTGTACCTGTAGCTGTGAGCTTTGGTGGCAGTAAATAAGGCCAGAAGTTGTTTGCCATCTAATTTGACAAAATCTTGGTGCATCTGTTACCTGGTATTTACCAATACCTATGTGTGTCCATCGTCACAAGTCTCACAAAAATTGCACTGACAGTTGGGTTTAAATAGACTTTGAGGAAAAACTCCTTCTTTCACACGTTCACACTTTGACTCAGAGAGTTCTCTGAAGGCAGCCGCTGCTAAAGAAGTGGTCTGGAACACAAGCCAAGGTTATGACAAGTTGCTGCACAACAGTTACAGGCTGGATAAAAATGTGGCTGTGCAAAATCAGTGTGAAGCTGCTGAGGCAATGGCTGGCAGAAAAGAAGAATAACACTGAATTTGGCACAAAACACTAGTCCTGAACTACACTGTACAATATAATGGACCATGTTTCATACATGATACAGAATAATAAGGAGTGTTTCAGTGATGGATCTGTGGAATGAAATGGGTGGAAAACATTAAGATTTTGGCCCATTTGAACTTGAAATCTTCCCCAATCATGTTGTCTTGTTGTACACCATAGAAAGTGTGATAAGTTTCTTCCACATTGGATTTCCCTTGTCTGAAATGCCAGCCTTCCCAGAGGAGGCGGACACGCGACCTTGATGTTTGACCTTGGTTGTGTTCCAGTAGTCCTGGCATCTCCCTGCCTGTCACCCAAGGATGGAGCATACAGGATGAACAGGTGTTATATCTGCTGTAGGACATTTTGTTTTGTAGAATTCCTGTAAATCCCAGAGTGTATTTTGAACAGTTGGTATTCTTGTTCACACAGGTTATGCTGTCATGACAATGACAGTACTAGTCTACTGCTTCCCTGTGTAGATGCCACAACTGCAGAGTTGAATACTGAACCTGTTTGTATCTCAGATGATTTGCCATGATGTTGTCCAGTAGCACCTTGCACTAGTGATATCAGTAATATATGTTACTCCTTGAACATTTCCTCTTGAATATGAAGGATTCTTCATACTGCTTTTTTTGAGTCAACAGTCACTGTCTATACAGCATGTACATGAATGCACCTAACATCAAGCCTGTCCTGGATCTGCCACTTAATAATTCTGTCTTATCAGAAACTTCAGGAAATTTGCCAGACTCTTCCTTCCTCCATGACCCGATTTCTTCAAGTATTGCTTCTGACACTTGTGTTCTTGATAAACGACCCATGTATCACAAGAGATGATATCAGTGGAGACAGTAGCTTCCTTGCTTGTCATCTTGGTGATGATATAGGACCTCTCATTTTGTGTAGTTGGTTTTGAAGCACCTTGCTGACTCCTCTCAGTATGGTGCTGATTTGCTGATAAAGGATCGGCAGGAAGTGCATGGGGATGACCGTGAACTTGAAAGACCAACTGTGGAGACTACAGGAAGCTGGGATGAAAGGAAAAGCTTTCTTGTCAAAGCTGCAAGCAGAAACGATTTCTCACGAGTTCAAGTGCTCTACTTTTACGACCATTTTGTGGTTTGGCAAGGCCATGTTGTCTTCAGAGATTAGTCGTAGTCTACAAGCAAAACATAAAATTGTCCTTCAAAGTCAAACTGCAGTAATTGTTACGAAACATCGCACAATGCTTTTGTTACTCTTCTAAAGTTTTAGGGGGTGTATCTTGTAAATGTAACCATCTTGTTTGGCAGCTGTTCCCCCAGGCCCAGTGTCTCCAGGGCTATCTCTCCAAGCATCTGTCATCCCCCTTACCCAGCAGATAATTGATTAGGAGGTGGGCACACCATGGGTCCCACATGGGGCTCAACCCATGGGCCTGCCAGGCTCTAAAATGCTGGCCACCACAGGATGCGAAATGGAGAAGCAAGGTTGAGTCAATTTTATGTACCAATAAAAAATCCCATTTTCATCAAGTGATCCCAGTTATTTGCTTGATGCCTTTCTACAAGGCAATAAGCTATAAACAGTAGTAACAGGAGATGGAAAAGTGCAGAAGAATTACATTTTGAAGTGTGTGGGCCAGCTGATGACATGTGTCTCCCTGCACAGCTTGGCTTTTAGCACAGGCCATGTGACATAATTGGGACCAGTTGTGGGGAAATTGTATCAGTCAGTGGGTGCAAGATTTGAACTCAGACTGGTGGTGTCACAGTGTTACTGCACATCTTCTCAGACTCAGTGTTGGTCTGGAACTTTCCTGATCCCTGCTGTTGCCAAGGATATGTTCTCAAGGATTTATGGACTCTGGGATTTCTTGGTGAAATCCTTTGTTCGCGGGGCAAGTCATAGCCTGTGAAACTGCCAGCTTTGAGAGATGCAACTGTCCTGATCGACTCCTGAACTTTCTGCCTTCTTGGATATCCTGAAAAGATTTGCAGAAGAAGAAAGGATTGACTTGTATGGAAAGAGCAGAGGTAGCCATGGTATAGAGAGATTACATATATAGGGGTGAACAGAATGGGAGCCAACTTAAAACCTGTCCAACAGCCAGCTTAGGATGACCAGAGGATTGTTTACTTTTTCTTCAACTGGATGTTATTGTTACATGTGGGTTTGTTACCCTTTGATTCATCAATTTTGCCTTGTTGATTTTCAATCAAAGGATGTGTTTGGACTGCTTGTGAGCAGTGGGCATAAACCTTCACTTGTAAAGGAAATATCTACCCACGGTGCGTCATCCAGGAAGTGAACTTCCAGTGTTTGGCAGTTAATAATTGGATTAATTCCCTGTTCTGCTCTTATCAGAGGTAGAGGATAAACTGCATACATAAACTGGAAGATTATTCCATGTCAGGCTCGTAAGAATAAGACTGTACAAAGCTGTCTAAAGCTTGGATGTTATTGCTGAATTTATCTTCTGCTTTTCAACACCAAAGAACATCGTAGAAGTCTGCCAGAAACCAGTTTTGACGTGATTATAACAGTTCCAATATGGCCTTTTTTGGCACATGTACAGTTTGTTCACCCTTGAGCTAGATTTCCAGATGTACAGAGACTCTGCAGAGGTTTAAAAGTCACCTGCAACAGCTGGCACCTAGATCTGACATCTGTACAGCTACAGAAGGAATATTCTTGGATAAATATCACCAGGAGGCATCTTTAACTAAAAGTTCACTGGGAGAAGGAAAGCTCTGTGGATTTTTGGGATCAGTGACACCACGTGTGCCCCTCCCACACATGTTCTGAACCAAACTGTGAACAGCAGGAAGACTTCATCAGAACGTAGCCTGTAGCAGTGCTGACTGGGATTACGGCGGTCTCCAGTCGGAATGCCTGTGAGTCCGGTGGGAAGTGGTGTACAAGGCAGCCCTAGTGCCAGCCCCTGGCTGGGGGAAGAACAGGGAAGGAACATGGAGAGTGTGTTCTACATCACGGCTCTGTCACCGACACCCAGGGCCAGTCCTCAGGCCCGCAGTCTGTCCCTGCACAGGGTAAGGGTACATGGACATGTTGTGGTACCTGTATGTACATGTTTACACAGGGTTTGTCATTTCTGTTGATCTAATGTGCCCATTTGAACCTGCTATGTAGAAAAAGCTTTGCATGTGTTGCAGGATACATGTACATTTAACTGAAGATGTCTTTTTGTGTGTTTTCACTACCTATGAGGTTAAACTCACTTCTCGTAATATTGTATAAAGTGGTTGTACTTAACTGTAAGTGAAAGAATTGAGGGATGGCTGAGATACATTTCCACTGAAACCGAGTTCTATTTCATTTGCTTGTAAAAAAGGAAGCAATATAATACAATACAATTTTCAGCCATTTTCCTGTTTCCTGTATAAAATATTTCAGTGGAATCTAAAATACCCTGTGCCTCCATGGAAAAGTATTACCTTTTGCTGGAAATAATTAGTTTGTTATGTGACCCATTAAGCTGTAATAAAAAAACTAATTGAAGCTACCATTATCAGTCATATCTAGGTAATAGGCTGAAAGGTTTTTTATTTGTCACTGCTTCCAGCACAACATATGACCTTGGTTAGGTGTGCATGTTGCCAATTATATCATTTAGAAGGTCACAGATGGTAGCATGAATGTCATGTACCAGCAGCCTGCATACATGTATACACAGAGGATACAAACTTTAGTATAGTACTGTAATCTCCAAGCAGAGGTTGATGGGGGAAGATCGTTACCTTTTTATATGTGGCCCCTTTTTTTTTGCTGCTACGTCGCGCGTGGACCCTCTCTGGTCAATGGATAATTTGATACTGTCTTTTTGTCATCCTAGGATCTGCTTGGAGATTAACTTAAACATAAACGGTAAAGATATGCAACTATTAAACTATGGTAACTTCTCAGATAAATGACTTCTGTAGATGGTTCTCTGGACTTCTTGGTCTTTATAATAGCAGGGATTGCTTTGTACTACTACAAGTAGTTTATCTACAGATTGGTTTGACTGTTACAAAACACAGATGGGTTTTGCTTTTAAATATTTAGATCATTTTGTCACATGTACTGCTTGTTTATTTTCCTGTTTTATTTGGCAAAGATAAGGCTGAATTGAAACAATTCTGTTGAAACATGTTTCATTTAGAATGTTGCAGTTCTAACATTTATTGGCACTGATTCCTTTGAAACAAGCAATTGCAGTTGGTCTAGCCCCAATTAGAATTCTGATACGGTGGTACTTTCTTTCTGTACTTAATGACCTGTGCAGTGTTATCACTCAGTACTAAATGATTAGAAATTCAAAACTAATCAGAATCTGATATGCATACTGACAGGAGCTTAGTAACCAAATGGCTAAGGTCAGCTTTAGATTTAGGTGTGTAAGTGACCCACCTGGAAAAATTGTACTTATTTCGTACTAATTTTTATATTTAATCACCTGAAAAATGCACATTTCATCTTTAGTTAAAGCTGTAAGTGTTTTCCTTCTTAATGCGATATGCTGGTGATGATTTGATACCAGCAACTAAGCAGATTGTATAGCTATTCCTCTTTCGGCAGTCCACTGTACAATGTTCACACTCATACCTAGATATGATGTCAACAAGCAGAAAGTCCTCCCAGGTTCTCCCAGGTGTTTGCAGATGTTGACAAAGATCCTCTCAAGGGAGAGGATTACCCTGATCCTTGGCTGCCTGATCTTTAAGCTGCACAGTCTCCATTAACACCTCATCATTATAACCTGGGTAGTGCTACTGAGATTACTCAGTAATGGAACCAAGCCACCTAGTCTGATAAAAGCCCTGTTGCTATGGGAATGGCTCAGTATGAGTATGAGAAGTTGGGTTGCCACTGACTCTTGGGGAAGGGCTTCTTACTGTGCCCTACTTTTCTGCACTCTCATTATCTAGCCTTTGCCAAGGTCACATGTGACTTTGATCATTGCCGTGTGTATTACACGTGTCTATGGAGTCGTTGCTTGTAGGCATGCAATTTATCATGCCAAAACTGGGATTAAAAAAAAAGTTGAAGTATAAAATTAGCAAATTGAATGTAGTTTGTGACTGGATACTCAATGCATTCTTGGAATGAATGAGATTCCTGTTGGATCCTGTTTTCTAGAATGTTCAGAAGTTTCATCCACTGCTGCTGACTTTTCGTGGCATGATGTGCTGGTTTGTTCATTAGTTATGTCAGTCTTCAGATATGTGGCAGGGTTCCAGATTTGAACAGCTCCCATGTTGCATGATGGGTGATGTTGATTACAGCAGGTGGTTGCCATAGTAACCATCTGTAATCATGTAGAGCCTGCACGTCTGCTTCCTAACATGGTTATAACTTTGGCATGTACAAATGTTTAGGTGTCATCTATCAATAAAATTTATCATGTAGAACTAATTTGACTGAAGCATCAAGGTCGTCTCTGAAGGGATAGCCATAGGCTTGGTTAACACACAATATAAGGCAGAAGGAAAATTTACAGGTTTCATTTCTTGAAGTGTCAACTATGTTAAAGCATTTACAGTGAATCACTCCTAAGTCAAATTAATATTTTGACATGAGGTGTAGTGACAGTGCTTTTAGTTTATTTTAGCCCACATGTGGACCTCTTTCCTTTTGAATCACAAAAGATATACATTCAGGCAGCGTTCAATAGTTTTCAAAGGTCCAGGAGAGGACCCCTGTTGTTAAACCCAAATGGGGGCTGACTCATCATGTCAAGGTCACTGGCAAAGGTCAAGGGGTCTTCCCAAATTGAGACCCAACAATTGGCTCCCCTGTGAGAGATTTATTGAGTATGTAGCCTCACTAGGCCAATCTTTAGAGGTAGATTTGTCATGGACTTACAACTAGGAGTTTGGTGAGGAAGATGTTCTATGTTTCATTTGCTTCCAACAGTTCATAGTAGAGTATATACTATAGATACTGCTGTTGCTAGTGCCCTTTCAATGAATCTACCAAAACTGCTTCGTAAGGTGATGTTTGACTACTAAGATTATTACTAAGATCTCTAAATGAATAATCTTTCAATGCTTGAACAATCCCAATGAATATGTACATAACCAAGTGGTTTGCCCATAAAGTTGTAGAAAGCTCTGTCATGTTGTTAGAATTATGGCATGGCTTGAATCTGTATGTTCTTTTTCCAGTTAGGATCTTGTCTATTCTTCCTATGTTTTTAAGAGTAACTACATAGAATTTCCAAATTTTTGTTGACTTCCTTAGTTACATTTGGCCAGGAGTAGTCCGCACAGATTTTACTAAATGTGCACATGGAAGTAAATACATGTTTCTGTTGTTTTTCTCCAGGTGTTTTTCCGAGCAGGTGCGCTGGCCCAGCTGGAGGACCAGCGGGATGAGAAGACCACCGACACCATCTCCAAGTTCCAGGCACACTGCAGGGGGTACATCGCTCGCCAGAACCTCAAGAAAATCAAGGTAACTGCCTAACATATTTCAGTAACAGGTTACCACTTTGGTCTGTGTTATCTTTTCTTACCTAAGTGAAATGTAGGTCCCTTGTTAATTCACTTTCATGACAATGACAAAACCAAGATGGAAGCCTGTTTCACAGTTAGGGACAACTGAACTAGTCACAGATTTTTAGCAAGTCTTTACAGACTGGTTTGAATGTAGCCTTAGTATTCAGTATTGGTTGAGTTTGTGGTCCAGGTGAAGATATTGTGACCATGTTGTTGGATGCCCAGGTACAAGAGCTGGCCATCCGATGTATCCAGAGGAACGTAAAGATCTACATGGCCGTGCGCAACTGGCCCTGGTTCCGCCTGGTCACCAAAGTCCTACCTCTCCTCAACGTGCACCGGACAGAGGACGAACTGAAAGAAAAACTGGTAAGATATTCCCATCTTGTGCTCTTGAACACCCCTAAAATGTCTGTGGTTTAGCCCAAAAAGGACAAGCTTGAGAGACATTTAGGTCAGTACCACTTCGATTCAGGGGTGTTTAACATATGTTTTGTTGTGGTGGTTTACTTAAAGAAAATGTCAGGAAAGACCTCAACATGTTGACAGAATATAACATTAAGGCAGATACCTTCTGGTATGCCAACTGCAAAGTTGTATGTTTTGGGTCCAAGTTTTGAGCTAAGTGCCTTTTGGAGGAGAGAACACCCATGAAGGCGTGATGTACATGTAAGTGTAGAGGTGAAACTTTATCCCTTTTCTCAAGTCTTCCATTCCGTTCCTTAAAGTTGAGTGGGTGAGACATCCTTTCTTCAGCTCTCCTCAACCAGAGAGTAACTCTGAAAAGGAGTCTGTCTTTGTGTCCTTTCAGGAGGAAAATTCCGGCCAATCAGAGTCATGTAAACAAACACACCTGAGGAATATTTACAGGAAAACTTACTTAAGGATTACTTAACAATTCTGTACTGCCTGAAATTAAGGTTGTTAGAATGTTATCTGGCAGTTATCGAGATTCTTTTTTAGAAACGAAAGGTCTTGATATGGTAGAAGTACAAAATGTATACCCAAGTCTATGTCATTCCAATGTGAAGTCCACTTAAATTGATATTACACTTGAGGAGATACATGCTTCCTTCACAAAAATCTCAAGGTCAAGATGGAGTCAATAGGACACAGCTGTACTATTATCTACTCAAACCTATCTTTTATTGTTACCATAATTCATAGATGTTATTCCACTTTGACAGTCACTGACAATGGTCTTGGTATTATTGATTAATCAATATCATAATCTTATGAATTGTTTGAAAAAAAATTGCAGTCTTGACAAGTTCTCAGCACAGATTGATTAAGCCTTAAGTCCTTCATTTATAAGACGAAAGATACAGAAACAAAAGACACCTGTGTATTTGATTGCAGCCGAAATGCAACTATTAATTGTAATGGACAAGTTTTCTATAAGCATTGTGTTTGATAGTAATGAACAGGTTCATCAGTTCATGGTTCCTGTCAGTAGGAACAATAGCTGTCAAGTGTACAGATACCCTGCCATTGTGTGTCACATTTGTGCCCAGGAAATCATAAATTTACTGCCAATAAAGTGTCATAAACAATGGGATGATGTCCAGACAAATTAACTGTTGTCACAAGATGGCCCGACGGAAGGAGTTCTCTGTTTTGGATACCTTGAGGGTTCCGCTGTCTTAGCAGATGTAAGACATTCCTGTTTTAAGTAAAACACCAGCCTTTGATGCAGTTGAAGAACAAGAAAGGCTGATATAGCACATTGCCTTCAGTTATTTTAGTAAAGCTTCAAATGTCTTTAAATTTTTCTGTAAATGTACAAAGGTGGTATTCACATCAGCTTCATCACCACATCAGAAAAACACAACATTTTCTTCATAATGCCTGTATAAAGGATGGTCTGAGAGATTGTTTGCTACTTAAATGCATAGGTATGGAAAGTTGTAGGAACTGCACCGCCTGTCAGCATGTCAGGAGGTTTCTCCTAGGCCAGAGGGGACCTCTCAAGTGGGTAGATCTGGTGTGGGCTAAGGTAACAGCTTTGTCTTTTATAGGGACTGTGATAATTACAATTTCTCATTCTGTTATGACCTTAAACTTCATGGAATGGTGATCATCCTACATATGTATTGGCTGAAAGAATATTCAGAAGAATGGTATGCAGACAATAGATATCAGATACGATACAGATCATATAAAATGGAGTCCTTACCCTGGCTACCATTATTAGAGTTTTACAGTTTTAGCAAAGTGAGCATACAGTTGAAAAAGAGTGTCAGCAAATATTTTCCAAATAAGTAGGTCATCCAGTCAGGGAAAGTCTCAGACTTTAAGTCAAGCAATGTCGCGCAGGAGATGTTTGGATGGGTGTCATGACTGTGTGTCGAGTACACATTATGTCTGAGATGTACTGATAATTATATAAGCCCTGTCTGCTTGTTTCAGGTCGAGGTTGACCAACTGAAGGCCAAGCTGGAGAAGATCGAGAAGGAACGCAACGAGCTGCGACAAGCCAACAACAAGCTGGAGACCAAAGTCGCCGACCTGACCTCGGAACTGTCGGATGAACACAGTACAGCAAACAGTGCCTCAGAGATGCTGGAGACAGAAACAGGAGAGAGGATGAAACTAGAGAAGGAAATGACACAGCTACAGGTGAGAGAAAGAACGAGAGAGAAAGAGAGGAGAGGGAGAGAAAGAGGGAGAGGGAGAGAAAGAGGGAAGGGAGAGAAAGAGGGGAGGGAGAGAAAGGGAGAGGGAGAGAGAAAGGAGGGGAGAGGAAAAGAGAATGAGAGAAAGGGGAGGGAGGGAAAGAGAGAAATACTAGTAGAGAAAAAGAGAGGAGGATTCTTGCCTCTTCATGCTTCAGTTTCTTCAAACAACTGAAGAAAGATTGGTGCACAGAAATGTTTTATTTACTCAACAAAGCTTTTGTTTACAAAAGATCAAGGAGAAAATAATAGAATGTACAATAAGGAGTAACATGCAAGATACTCAAAAGTAAGTATTACACTGACAGATACAAAGGAAAGTAATGTCATGAATTGACAAACATTGCCATAAACTTTTGATGCAAAGGAGAATATGACTGTACATGTACATATGCTGGTAGATGTTATTGTATACCTGGTAGGAATGCAGTAGACATAACAAATTCTCACCCCCAACAGATTTATCACAACTTCCTCTTGTTGGGTCAGGTGTTGAGGCTATTGTTGTGCACACCTGTGCATACACCTGTAAACACTTAAAAACTGCACTAAAGGCAAATAGATGGCAGACTTGAAAGAAAAAATATATGTAGCGGTAGATAATTGTTGGCTGTATTCTTCTCCCTTTTTTCTTACCTTCACTCCATCTTCATTATCTACACATTACCAAGTGAGATATTTGACATAGGGCCAAGTAAAAACAACAAGGCTAACCCTACACCACACTTTTTCTAAATCATGAAGTCTATTTCTTCTCAAGTATTTTCACACCTTAGTTATTGCTTTATTGTGTGGTGAGATTACGACCGACATTGGCTTTGTTGCAAAATTACAGTTACCAAGCACTGTGAAAGAGATGGAAGAGTGCTTGTCAGTTTCTTTTGAAAAATGGCAATTACGACCCTTAATCTAAGTGTTGTTGAACTTTGCCTGAATAAAACTCCTATATAATCCTATGGACTTGGTGTTTGATCATGAATGTCCCATGTACAAAGCACTGCAATTAGTTGTTAGTGTACACAAACATTACACTTATATAGTACAGTACTGACACTACTGTATATCAGTAGATGTCAGTTTCTCTATATTGTACTCAAGACTTTGTGCTCTGTCTTGTTTTTAGGACCAGAATGACAGCCTTCAGCAGAAGATGAGACAGATGGAGATCGAGCTGACACAGATGCGGCTGATCCGAGCCTCGAGGATTGGAGCAGTGGAGAGCGACGAAGAGGAAGATGAAGGTGATTTCTTTTTACTGTCATACCCATCTTAACCCTCAGCCTGCTAAGGTAGCTGTTTGGCACCAAATTTGTATGGGTTATAGCATTAGGTAGCAGGCAGAAGGTTAAAGCAAGGAGCTTTCTTGCATTTCAAAGTTCCTTGGATACAGATGTTAAATAAAGGTCTTCCAAGCTCACTTGTAGTAAGTTTTTAACTCAATTGTGAAAAGGAATTTCTCAGTATTGTTTAGTACAGTGTGTTCAGATGAGTGTTTGTCATTTAGAGCTTTATAGCTTGGAGACACTTTCTGGTTCCTTAGTTTGCATCTGGAAACTATGACGCATTTGAAGGTATGTAGTATGATATATTACACAAAACTATTGCCTGTCAAGTTGTCAATGGAAGGGGGGGAGGCAAGGTGGGAGGTTCCCCTTTTTCAAACTTTTATTTTTCGTAAGTAATCAGATCTGCCTGAGAACAATGGCCAGGTTTGCACTGTGGTGAATCAGGCATTCCAAACCCTCACCTGCTTTGTGTGAAACAATGGGGACGCCAGGCCGTGGGTTTACATGACACGTGACCACTGTTCCTCCCACATTCTCTCTGTCGTTGGTGATTAGGCATACCAATGTTTTGTTGGTATGTCGGGATGAACCATGTTATATTTGGGGAGGTGCAGAATGTTCTGAAATCATAACAGGTTGTATGTGTGGAAAGTTAGAATAACATGGCTCACTGGCATTGTGTTATGTTTATTTATTAACCAATTACATAGACATGTCCCAGTTTTCTGTGTGTTTTTTTTTTAGAACTACACTTTGCGTAGTTTTGCCCTGGGCAATTACAACTGAGTGGTAACTGTTGCTCTTTTGATATTTGAAATTACTTGACAGTTTCTATAGCAGTCATTTCCATGTCTTGCTGGCAAGTTGTTTTGGAAAACATAAATGTCTATTCACAGATTCAAATATTTGACCTCTATTTGGCCACTCTTGTGAGTATTTTATTGCTCACAAAGAATTTCTGGATATAAATCAAAGTCTGATTGTTGAGGGCAGTGGAATGTGCTAGTTACACCCATGTTATGAAGTGGTGAGGGTCATTGCCCTTTGAGTCATCGCCAATGTTTGACTTTTTTATCAACATTTGCACAGTGTACATGTACATGTATCACCAAAACACCAGCAATGATAATCAATGTGTTTAAACAATGATAAGGATTTAACAAAAAATACACGTGTAGGTTTTTTATTACAATGCAAATTTCAGGCCCAAGCACAGTAACTTATTGTAAGAATACATGTTTTTGTAGACTCGTGGTCTGTAGACTGTAAAACTCTGACTGAGGTGCCTCTCTATACAGTTCAAAGGACCTGTAGTCTTGGCATGCAAATTTTCTCGTCAATGTGGCCGCTTTAGGGCTTTTCAGGATATTGAAATAGCTTGCTCTCTCAGCAATTATTCAGACTGGATGCATGAGTAGCATTCTGTTGTATAGGAAGATGGATCGTGTTTGTGCCAGAAAACCCTTTGTGAGCCTTTGCACTTGACTTTCTCTTTGCAAACATAGACTGTGGACTCGCACCTAAGGGTGCTGTAGGGCTCTCCATGTGGATTACTGAAGTGCTGAAGTGACGTAGAGCCTCACTTTTCCCTTCACTCCACAAAGCGGGGAATTGGGTTGGGGGAAACCCGAGAGCGGACGTTGAAACCGACGCCCTTTCAGTAAGTCTCGACCCCTCCACTTCACGTTCCAGGCATTCTTTCCTCGCTGCAGTCAGGTAGAAAGGTGAGGTTCTATCTTTAGAAATAGGCTGTAGTTGTTTCGTATCCACCATGAAGGTAAAAATTCGTGCAGAAATGGGGCGCCCGGGCGCGGTATGTGTAGTTCTACCTGTGGACTCCCACTGTGGGGAGGAGTGCCAATGTGAGTAAACTTGTCGCCCGCTGTATTTTGATTGTTTTTCTATTTGTTTTGCTTTGCTTTGTGGCAGTGGACAAATATAGCCTGACCATTAAGGTGAAATAGAGTCATGGCATCCTTGTTGTAGTCCTCTGTAGTTTTGTCACCAGACAGGAAGCAGATAGTAGTGCATCTCTCTCGCGGTCTACTTTGTTCTATTTCGGGTTTATTTACGGAGTGGCTGGTAGGCGGACGGGAGGGGCGGCGTGCCGTGTTACACACGTGAGGCACCTCAGAATCCGCCCAGTCGAGCGTGACGGCTGAGCGCATTGAAGACTGACAGCGAGTTTGACATTCCTGCAGCAGTGTGTCATGAGGAGGGAGGGACACGGACAGGTGGGAGTAGTGCACTCACCTGGTGTTGTCAACCTGCCAGGGGTAAATCTGATCATTCAGGTACTAAAACTTGAGCTGGAAATCCTCTTACAAGTCTCAAGGTCCTTCCATCTTTAAGGAAAGTTACCACTGTACAAGGAAAACGGTAGGTTTTGATTTTGGCAGGTATGCTGGTGCTTCATCACAATCCCGTAGTTGGTCAAGTATTATATAATGTGTTTCACGTATGTCAAAAGTTGACATCTTTGAGTACAGCTCTTATCAGAGCCAGTATTTTGTGTACAATCAAGTCTAGACCAAGCAGGCCATTTATATAATGGGGTAAATGATTGTTACATTCCAGGCTGCCAGCTGAAAAGGTTGTTATTGGATACTAAGGACTATGTTTTTGGACCAAGTCTGATGCTTAATGTTTTAAATCCTGGTTGAAATTAGTGATAATCCTCAGGCTTTGTGTTGCTGTGTGTTTAGGAGTGGTGGGAATATTGGTGGTGGAATTGGTGTATGTAATTTAAAAAGGTGTAGAAATTTGTGAGGTAGAGTTCAAACTGGATGGGCAGTTGAAAAGAAATTCAAGGCTTCGCTTTATGATTTCGGCACATTTCTAGTCCCAGACTTCCTTGCTAGTAACCATACCCCCCATGTAAAACTGACTCTGAGGAAGTGTGTCACAGCGGGCGTACAACATCTTTGTCAACTGTTATTTACACAGTGAACAGTTAAATGGGGACCCTTTTGTACTGGACACGCAGTGATTTAGCTCCACATGTCAAAACCTTACAGGATATTAGTGTGAACAAAAAGGCTTTGACGTTGTTTGACGTTTTCATATCCTGGGAAAACTAAAGGCTCCTTACGTTTAAAACGAAAACAGGATGTAAAATTTGACATGATGGTCGTGTTGAAAGCCGCAATTGCTTGTCAGCTCAGCGGCAATTTTAAAAGATTTGTTGTTAATTTCCTGTTGTGGTAACATATTAATAGCCGGGCATACTTTTGCCGTGAGCTCACATATAAGGGAACCACAGGAAGGTGAAAACAAGGTAGTACAGGGCTGGTGTGCTCCACTGTCCAGGGAGTTTTCTGGGTTAGCCGCCAAGTTTTCTTACAGAAGGTGGGTGTACTCTGCTCAATTGGAGTTCTTTGTGTTGTACTGGTGCCTGGTATGTGGTTTTGGTTTGTTCAGAGCTTTGTGGAAGAATTGACCGTGATACTTGGTCCAACTACAGGCCAGTGGCATATTTTTAGTGCCTTTGCACACCCAGGCACTGTACATACATTGTATTCCTTTCGTTTAAATTTTGAGATCTTTGAGTCCAAACCTCGCAAAATAGAGAACAAAGAAATTTAAACTGTTTTGCGATTGAGTGTTTTTACCGGCACACCTGTTATTCAAAACATTTCTTCTGTTTAATGATTGGTTAATGATTAAAAACAAATGAATTTGACATTTGTCAAGTCTGGGCTTAGGACTGACACTGTAAACATGTTTCTGTTGGAACAGTGTGAAGCAGATGTTGGTATGTAATTTCAAACCTATAACATTGTGTACATATGGTGTAAAGCACTTAATATGGTAAATGATAACCTACCTTATCTACATGTATAGGATTGACAATTACAAGAAAACAAAACAAAACATAACAAAACTGTTAGCTTCTGCATTGCATTAATAGTGTTGTAATTGTGTGCAGTAGGTGTACACACTTATAAGCTGTTGGGTGTGGTCAGAATTTTTTTTGGAGAAAGAAAGTTTTGTTCAATCAAAGATTTAGTTGTGCAGGGTGTAGAATCTTAGAAGATGGAATTTATTTTAAATTCAAAATGAATGTAGCAGAGAATAACTTCAATAATGCATTGATGGTGAAGGATATTTGAGAAAGAAAACAGTTTGGATCAAACACAAGCATGTCAGGCTGCTCTTACAGAATTTGTTCTAAGGTGTGCACAGGGTTATATGTTATATGTTTGTATAATGTCACATGTTACAACCAATGGTGCACAACAACCAATCATAGTCATATGTAGATATGAATATAGATATGAAACACAGACAATCTCCTGTGTGAAGTTTTCATATGGAAATCTCTAGTCTGGCTTCTGTGAGGAAACAAGATGGATGTGTTTTTCAGGACTCACTCTACCTTCTTTGGTGAGTGTTTTATACAATGTTAGATACTTAAAGTGAACTAGGTTATGTAAAAGTCAATACACTGCTGTAAATTTAGGATAAATTTTATACTACGGTACTCACATATAGTAGGCAGGAAAACTCAAAATGTAATTTTATAAATCTGGATTAATACATTAGAGTGTAATTCTGATTGAAAGTGTCAGAGTTCTTAAACATTTTAATCAGATGGACTTTCACAAGGTGTATGACATTGCTGAGCAGCACATTAAACCATTAATTCAGGTGACATAGGGGCTAATTTGTGGCAGTAAAGGTTAAAGCATTGAGCAGTCCAATATGGCTCTCATTGTTAGTGTTAAATGTGTACTTTCTAAATGCCATGCAGTAAATATTTAGCACAAAAGGGCACACTTCAAGGCTGTAGTTCTTTGTTCACATTGAACTACTACTGTAGATATTCTAGTTAAACAATTCCTTTAATGAAACCAGCTCTGTAAATAGTAATAAGGTCTTGTCACATCTGTCGTAGTTTGGCTTCCTTGTAGCTATCAACACTTGTGTGGTTCAATGCGTAAGCAACCCCAGGCAATGTAACTTTGGAAGACTTGAATCTGGAACCCATCATATGTTGTCCTTTGTTTATGGGAGTGAAGAGACCTTGTTACTCTTTCATTTTTTTCTCACCTTTTCAAAGAGAAAGGTGGTCTTTGTGTAATTTTGAAGGTTTTGCCTGGCAGTGTGTTGTTATACTGAGGATGTAAGGTTGACGAGGTTTACTTGGAAAAGACCCTGTGTAGAAACAAGATGATGCTAACCCAAACTTCCGTCTCACAGAGTTAATGGGAAAGGTGGTTGGATGTAAACTTGGCTCAGTTGGAGCCTGCTGTTTTAAATAGGAGTCATTAGTCAGAGTTTAGAACTCCCCAATAGGGAAGGTATAGCAGTCCTTATGTTCTGTACATGTATATAAGGAAACAGGCCGGAAGCTGTGTTTGTGAGTTGGCTGGATGTTTTTTTTCTCTAACACTATTCCTCGTAAGTTGAGTTGTGTTTTTTCTCAGTAATCTTTTGGAATACAGTTTCAGTCTGTAAAATAACTAAAAGAAGTTGTATCTTAAATGCAAAAAAAAAGAATAGTCAATATCACTTACAAGTATGTTCTTATCATGTCTTGGAGAATGGTGCTTTTGGTTGAAAATTGCAATATTTTCATGTTTATTTAACAGTGGATGGAAAGTTGGTTATTTATAAATCACCTTGAGTGGGCGGGCCAGACAATCAAGAACAAGGATGACGTCTTTCCCAAAATAGCTCACTTCAATCTTATTCTTACATTCTCGCAGCTTCTCAATTGGGCAATTTGTACCAGGGAGGTTTCTGACTTGAACAGTTTTTAAAGCAACCCAAAAGAATGGTATCCAATGACTATGCCTTTTCTTTTCTGACAGAATATGTCATCGACACTCTTAAAGTCATAATTGTCACCATTGCTGATCAGATCTAATGTTATAGCTTTGAGGAAAGTTAAACTGTTTTTTTTTTTTTCTGCAGGGGAGTCTATCTACAAGGTGAAATACGAGCGAGCCATGCGGGAGAATGAGTTCATCAAGAAGCAGCTTCAGCAGAAGCACGAGGATGAGATGGAACAGCACCTCACAGCCAAGAAACAGCTGGAGAGGAAGGTATGAGAAACAGTCACATACTGCCCTGTAATTACAGCACATTTACAGCATTGTCAAGAGTATGGTATGGTTTTTAAGTTTCAGTAAAAAGTAATGAATTCTCCAGTTGGCCAACATTCTTGGAAGAAATACCAGTACATTGACTGTTGAATTAACTTCAGAAGACAAATTCTAAGCTGAGATAGAATACATTGTTGTACAGACATCATAGAGACCCAAAGAAGTTAAATTTTAAGACTAATTTTGTCTTAGAGGGCACCATCTCCTCTCATTGTCTTGAAGAATGTCCCATAGCATCGTTCCTCCTTCAGCACCACCTTAAGGGTTTTTAGGACCTGTGGAAGTGAGAGTGTACTTGATACTGTGTGTGTTGACATGTCAGTGCTGTACTTGGCACTTTCTTAGTGACCTTGTGTGCCCTCTGGACCTGACTTTGTTTCCACAACACCCTGGGAAGGAGACTGATGATGGTTAGGCAGGCTGTTGTTGTGTTAGGTGATAGGCCTGGGAAGGAGAAGAGTTAAAGAAAATACACCAAACAGTTACCGGAAAAAAAACCCAAGCTGATGCATTTTACAGATAAAGGCAAGCATCTGGATTGGTTGAATGTGCAGCAATTGTTTTGCTGTCCTGCAGCCCAACTAATTGAAACAGACCCTATAAAAAAACCCTGGCGTGCGCTATTAAAAATAAATGAACCTGAGCAGGCGGTCAGTACCCCAGCACCATAGAGATACCGCAGCGCCTAAGATGGTCTGCCTGCCAGGCTAATAATTTGGTAGCTTATCGTGAAAGTTCATCTGTGTTGGTAGTTACATGTTTAGAGTTAAAACTTTAGATCCAATACAAAGAAGATATTTCACCTATAGCTTTCGACCAGTCACTCTGGTCTTCCTCAGTAGACTGACCCTATGAGGCTTGTCGTGTGGCTTCTTGTCGACAATGAGTGGAAGGAATTTGTTTAGCTTTATAATATTTTGCTAAAATCACCTGCTTGTGATTGCCACAGCTGGCAGATGCGCTGGAGGATGCTGAGGAGCAGCAGCGGCAGGTGTCGAGCCTGAAGAAGAAGTGCCAGCGGGTGACGGCTGAGATGCAGGACATGAAACTGCACCTGGAGACCCAGCAGGAGAGGAACAGCCAGCTGGAAAAGAAACAGAGAAAGTAAGGACCCTACGGAGCCCATGTATACATATATTCATGATATATACATTGTGTATGGGTTGTACATACAGTACCATCCATATAGTGCCCTGTATTTGTAGGACTTGGGGGTATTTCTTGTGCAATGCATCACACCACAGCAAAACGCAAAGGATGCAAAAGTAACTATACCACAGCAGGGCAAAAAATTCAAGGGTCTATTATCTGATTAAGACGTCAAATTATTGACAAATATTGTGTAAAGAATGTCAGCAGGACAAGAGTTAGAAACTTAATATTTTTTAAGAAAGAAGATATTCTACTATCAATAGCTGGATGACACCTTTTCCCCTCTAAACACTTAAGAGTAACATCTTTCTTTCACCAGGATAAAGTTCACTACATTTGTAGGAAATAGATATTTTATTCTTGACCCATTGCAGTACATCAACATGGATTATGCCAACCATAAATGTCTTTGTCAATGTAAGTTTGTTGGAAGAAACAACTGACTTCTAACCTTTTTTTTTACTGAGCAATTCAATCCCAATCTTTTCTCCCTGTGCCAGGTTTGACCATGATGTCCACATTGTCCAAGAGGAGACAGTGAGGGAGAAGGCAGCAAAGGACCGACTCCAGCACGAGAAGGACCAGCTCCAGACAGAACTCCTGCGACTCAGGAACTCCCTGGCCGACCGCGAAGCAGAGTACGACAACCTGACGCTCAAGGCCCAGCGCATCGAGGTCGAGCTGACTGAGATGTCGTCTGCAGGGTCTCTGGATGACAAAGAGGTGGGAATTTTTTTGTCATGTTTCTTGTTGCATTTACTCATATCTACTTGAAATAATGGCCAGCAGATAAGGTTTTAGGTCGCAACAAGACAGTCTAAATTTTGCTGATGGTAGACAGAGCAGGGTATAGATAGGACTTTTGTCACTCGTGTGGTGAATGTTCTTGTCTTTCACCCTGAATCCACTAGGTGGCATCGCTGCGCCATGCTAAGAGAGATTTGGAGGCGAAGGTAAAGGATCAAGAGGAGGAACTGGATGAGCAGGCTGGACAGATACAGATGCTAGAGCAGGTCAGTGAGCTTTGGTGTTCAAACTCTACTACTAGATTAAATACAGGGATTATTTCCAGATATTTCATGTGTCCATCACTCTTTTTCAGTGTCACTTGTGCACTTACATTATTTATGAGGAACTGGAAAAACTGGGTGAACAAAAGTTCAACTGGAAAAACCTGTTGAACAAATCCAATGACTCATATGCAAATTGGTCGAGTTGGCATACAGCTGTCAAACTAACACAGACTGCAATTTGTACCACCTTGAATTGATGAAACAGGTAGCTCACACATATACATTTGAAGCATGGTGAATAGGTTTGTTTAATGCAAATACTGTATATGATTTTATTTGACTTTTATGTGACTAAAAATGTTCATTTTGTGTCCAGGCCAAGCTGCGTCTGGAGATGGAGATGGAGAAGCAGAAACAGAAGCACAACAAGGAGCTGGACTCCCGGGATGAGGAGGTGGAGGAGATCAGGACACAGAGTCATCGCAAGGTCAGTCTGCCTGTCAATCAGTTGGTCAGCAACCCGGCTGGTTGATAAGTCAGTCAGCAAGCTAGCAAAAGCCACCCATGTAGGAACAATTTCCCCATCAGCTAATAAGAAAACCATCGCTGAAAACTTGAGGAACAGGCCTTGGATTGCTTGGACAGAAAATGATGTCCACATGTTCATGAGAGACATCTAGTGGCAGTTGACTGTACTGCAGCACATGGCTGTCATGCATCTTTGCAGTGGTGAAAGACGTTTTCGTACCAATGTTCAGGCTGTTTCAACAAACTTCGTTTAGTTTCTGTTCTTCTAAAGATTTTCCTGTCCTTAACTTCTCAAACTTCGAAAAAAATGTTTATTTTAGTTGAGCCATTGCCAACTGTCATTTGTATTCGTTATGTCTTTTTTCTTTTGTTTATTTCTGTTTGATCACAAGGTATGAGGAGACCTGTTCACCCTGTATATACGTGGTGGCAGATGTTTTCCTCACTCCTTCCTATCTCATCTGTTCCATTCCTTGTGTTTTTCTTGTCTTTCTGTGTGTATTTCTGTGGTTGCATGTGTCAGTGTGTGTATTTTGCTGCACGTTTTCGCCAAAGTACTTTCTGCATGCAACGTCGTGAGAAACAAGTCAGGCAGAAGGTAGGTGTGAGGAGGTGAAGTTAGACTAACTCGATTAATGACACTGTACATACTTTCCATTCAAACAATCTACTATGTGTATATGTGTGTCATAACATAGACAATTTGTATCAATCTCAAAACTAAGAGATGGGTACCATGGTAAAGGTTAGACATCCAGGTAATGAGGTATGCCAAAAGACAGTTACTCAAGCAAATGATACCTCTAGAATTTCCAAAATCATATCCAGTTGCTAGAGTAACTGTTTTTTGGGGCATGTAAGATGGGTACATTACTACAAGTACATGTATCTGTTTCATGCCAGCTATCTTCAAATAGAGTGGATAATCGTATCATCTTAAATATAATATTCCACAGTTCAATAGTACAAGTACAAAAAGTACTGAGCTACTGCTTTCAGTAGGCTTCACTCAGGTCTGACATGATACAGAGTCCTCTAATCCTGGTTAGCTTGGAGAGTGTTTGTTCTGGAGTCTAACATATCTGTCAACAGCCCTGGCCACCAGACAGAGTCATTCAACAATCGCTGTAATTAGGAATGGACCAGGAAATATTGTAGTAGAAGAACTGTGAATTTAGAAAAAAAAAAGAAATTATCCAAGAAAGATTAGAAAATTTAAAAGAGAGTTTGTAAAAAAAATGATTTCTGCATAACAAAATTGACTGAAAAAGTGCACAAATTGTTTACTTAAAAAAAAAACCTGCAGTACCTGTAAATTTAGTTTCCCTAACCCTTTATGGTGCTCTCTGCACCTTTCTATTTGCAGTATTTCGAGCACAGCAGATGATTTTAATTGCCTCATTAATTATCTTGCTACAGCTTCCTAACTTTCTGCCCAGACTAACTGGTCTGTTGGGACCGCCCATGTTTGGCTGATTGACAGGAAAAACAGACGGCTGGATGAGGAATTTGGGAATCCAAGATTATGCCCAGCTAGAATTTGTAAATGAGCTTTTCTTGTCCTTTTGATAGTGTTTATTTTGTACAAGATCCAAGTGCAAGTGGAAAATACTGTAAGGGAATGTCAAACCTGGATTTAGCCTTGCTGCTCTCATCTACACATCAGTGGGAAAGAAACAATATAATCCATGGAATTTTTGTTCTCATTTTTGAATATTTTTTCTTGAAATTTAGTATCAATGTGACATCAACAAGAAATCTTGAAGTATTTGTATTTGAAGTGGAATAGCTATCTCCATATACACACACATGTAAGCTCCTTGGCTTATACAGTCCAGTATAGATACATTGTGTAGGCCTGGTGTACATGTATGAGGCAATTGATAGCTCCTCCCATATGCATGATTGACAAGTCCCTCCCACTTAATGTGATTGACAGTGCCTACTGCAGGGATGTAACTTGACACCAGAACATTCTTTTACCACAAAGACCAACATGTACATGGTAGGGGTAAATCAGAAAATCTTCCTGAGGAAGGAGTAATTTGACCAATGAAATATAATATGATGCCTAGAATTTGAGAAAACTGCCCTTTAAAAAATACATCACTTGAGGCATAAGATTTGTATTGAAAAGATGTCATCAAAAATGATATTTTTTCATGCTGTCAGTATCAAGATCCTGCAAATGAATAACTTATCTCTAAATTTTACAATCTTAATTAGCTTCAAGAGCAAAGCAAAAAGGTAAAAGTACTCATGCACATATAGTCATGCCTATGTGGTGTATTAGGACAAGGACATTGCATAGAATGTCCTTGATTTAGGGACTGGCATTGACATCAGTGGATAAAACATACAAACACAGCCCCCTCCCCCGGCAGCAGTAATGATCTGTCCCCAACAGTCACCCCTGTTCCAGCCAGTCCTCCCTCTCCCAGCCCCAGTTCTGAGGTCCACCAGACCTGACATCCTCATTGCCCCAAAGGAGGAGACACCACATATTCCCACACCAAGATGTGTAGCGAAGCTTGTAAGAAGTACTGGGGAGTCAAGGTGAGGAATCTAACGCAGGGTTCAGAAGTGAATAGTGGGGAGAGTTGGAATAGCAGGGTTCCCATCTGAGAGGGGGGAGGGCGGCAGAGACAAGGGGGACTGTGATGGCTGCTATAGTCCTGTCAAGCAGATGGTCAAGCTCTAAAGCCGTGCTGATATGGGAAAAGACTGTTTGTAGATATGCGGGTCACAAGTGAAACGTGGATATGGTAGTTCCCAGCAGTGAGACTCTGTATATAGTCAGGGGCTTTAGCATTGATACATCAACCATACCATATCATGTGCACTGTATGTTTAGCTGTTTGGAGGGTTGGCTTTCATGTAATGACTCATCTATGATGACAAGACTTTAACGACAAGAAAGAGGAAATTGGTGTTTGTCTATAAAGCCTGAGAAAATGCACAACTTCTGTGGGGTAATGGCCTCAAGGAAAATTTACATTTTTTCTCAGTAAACTGAAGAACATGAAGGTTACCTGGGCAGTTATAAGGAACGCCATAACATTCTTCCAGTCAAGGTGTTGGTCATGTCCTTGTTTTATCAACACAGCAGTAGGTGTTGTGCCTAGAAGTGAAGGTAAAAGTCAAGATTAGCTACACCACCAGCAAATGTTGTTCTAATCTGAATCACATCAAGGTTTCTGATGTCTAGAACAACTTTCCCTCCTTCCTGCCATGTGGAAAAGTTTAGGGAGCCAAGTGGGTTAGACCAAGGAAGCACATTCACAGACGTTTGATTGTTCCAAAATGCGTTCATGTTTTAGCTAGTCATTCCTTTTGCTAATTTGATTCCCTGACTGGTTTGAGGACCTTGTATTGTATTTCTAGATGTTGATAAGGTAACATAATATCAAGGATTATAAACAGTAATTTTAGTCTAGACAACCACAGAAAGACTTGCAGTGTAACTTTTTGAAAAAGGAATATTTGTGGTTGGTTTAGGAAAAACAGGAACCCTGGGTTTGAAATATGTAGTTATATACAGCATCGACGTATACAGTTCAACTTCATCTTGGCAGAGTTATTTATAATTCTCCATAAGCAAAGCATAGATACCTAACTTTAAACTTGGCAAAAGCAGTACTAGTATACCATAGTTTTTGCCATCTGGTGTTGATCACTGGTACAAAATAACATTTAAACTTAATAGCAGCATAATATTTACTGTTATGCTCCACTTAGTTTTGTTAACAAGTTTTGACACAGTTAAACCTTGCCTGGAGGCACATGGCCAAGTGGTTCCCACAGTTTGATCAGTTACAGTGTTTGGAGGAGTAAGTCATTCGGAACAAATTGCAATTAGTCGGGTAGCTCACAGGCTTTGAAAAGGTTTGTTTTCCTAAATTACATCTTGGATTGATTTTAGATTAGGCTTTAACTGGTTGAGCCATTCATATCATTGTTGTGTGAACAAAAATAAGCCAGTAAAGCTAAAGACAAGGTTGAATGGTGAAGGTTGATTGTTATTTTGGTTTTGGAAGCCTTTAAGTGTAAGATTTTACAGAGTAGTGCCCTGTAAAGTTCTGGAGTGAAAAAAAATGGAGATGCAGAATTCTTTGCCGTCATTTGCCGTTTTTGTAAGGAAAAGACTTTTGATGAATCTTTGGAATTGGCTGTCAGAATCAAAAAGTAACCAGAAAAGGCAATTTTATCCAGAGGATGCCCCTGGGTAAGTGATGGTTCCTCCCTATGCCTTACAGCCTCAATATGTACTTGAAAATTGTCATTGACTTGATGATTACATCCAGGTGTGTTTTGATTTGCCTCCTTCCTGTGACTGCAAGAAAAAAAACTCCCAGCCAATTACAGACCTTCAACCTTGACTTTGACTGCATATGTCAGATGGTCTTGATTTAGACCTGGTCCAAGTTTAGCCCCTTGACCCTAGATCGAATATAGGCCATTAACTCTCAATAAAAGTGTCACCTTGACCATGATAGATTCTGCTACTTTTAAAGTTAATGTCTGCACATCATTTGTTACTTTAAAGTGTTTGTCTTCCATCTAGAAAAGAAGATTCCTTTGTGCTTTCATGAAAATTGATGGCATTTTTCAGTGCCTCTTGAAAAGATACGTACATGCATACCGTGCTTGTAGTTCTAAGAGTTATGCCCAGTTAAAGCATCAAGGAACCAGGTCATCTTCTTTGTTATGTCTGTGGAAGAAAAACTATAGATAAGACTGGATGCCAAGACTCCCATCAAAGAGACAGTAACACTCCCCACATGTCTGTAAGGGTGTCAGCTGAAATGTGAAAGGTTTTGGGGTTGAAGTGTTTTATGTCTGTCACTTCTGATGGGATTACAGTGTACTTTCTTTGACCCAACTTTCTTATGTATGGTCTGAGATTCTGAAGATCGAGTCCAGGAGACTATAACTACATGTAAAGAAACTTTTACGAATGCAGATATCAGTCCTGTTGTTTTGCTGTACATGGTAAGTTTGACACGAGATTGAGAGTCAAGTTAGATGTACAGGAATTGTATATTATTTCAGGCAGCTGGGTTTTACATATTGCCGACTTCTATTTTCATAGCAGCCAGTCAAACTTAAACTACTATACAAAGATGGTAACATGCCTTCTGGGGTCCATTTAGAAGTCTAGATAAGGCAAGCATTAGAAAGCTAGAGCAGCCGATATAGAAATGTCACGGTCATATTATGTTTTCTACAGAAGTCAAGTGTCATGCTGGGTTGTTATTTATAATCTGTTGAGAAAAACTATTAAAAAATCTAGTTTATCATGCAATCTGCAACCTTCCTCCCAACTGTGATACTGGGTATTTAATGTTTTAATTTTCATCAGTAAAAACGCTTCCTTGGCTGACCAGTCTGAGAGTGCTTAGCCATGTGTTACCTTTGTTGCCATTTCTGGTCCATGGTCCATATATAGCAGACACACAAGGGCATATGATTGTCATCGGCATAAGGAGGCCCAAGAGGCAAAACATGACGTCATTGGACAGTGATATGTTTCTAAAATCCTTCAGCATATGTTGTCATATCAGTAACCATTAGCGTACATGTTGGTCAATTTTTAATGATAAGTACAGTATAGGAAAGTCATGATATCAGATTTGCTTACCAAGACAGTACATCAAAATATACAGTGATTCTTTTTGCATCCCAACATGGTAGTTTCTGTATATTCCTTACCAAGTTTGTACTAATTTGAAAATCCATTTTGTATGGTTCTTTATGAATATATGATAAAATATTTTTTGTCTCTGATCTCTAGTCTCTAGGAGCAGCCATGTGTTCCAAACGTTCATGTATGTGGGGTCTGTATTTTGGACGTGGCAACATGCCAGTGCATTATTAGCATGGTTAGGAAATAGCTGGACCAGCTCTGTCCTTATTCTATGTGAAAGTTATCCCCATAACACATGTAACACAGGCCATGAAGTGGTCTCACAGGAACTAATTGGGTAGCCATGTCACTAATGCCTTGTTCCTCCCAGTGTTGTGAACTTAATACATGTGATGCAGTATTTACAGTATCAAAATACCACAGGCACAGCTGAGGCTAAATGCTGCAATGCCGCTAGTCACAAGCTAATGATAATGAAAAATGACTGTGTGCTGTATATTATGTAGCATAAATGGGTTCTTTATTTTGTTATCTCACGATGTGTGGAATATTCTTATCTGAGCATTATTGCAAAATTTGTGTACCTTTGAGCTTTGTAATTGGTAACTGTCAGGGTTACTTTGACCAATATGGCAATGTATCAAAGAATCATTTTTGAAGAAAGAAAATCAGGAGAAGGGTTAACTTAACACATGTGTAATACCACTGTTCCACTAGAGGTTGTGACTGCTGAGCTACCAAAGACTTGATAGATCGCTCAAAGAATTGTATAGATAAAGTACGAATCCTTAGTTTCATGTGTGCTCTTTGAAATAATGTATCATACTGTATTAAATCTGTTAGCTGTATGGTTGCTCAGTGGTCACTGTATAGTGAAAATAGGGTCTCCAGTATGCATTGATCACTATTGATGAAAGGTGACATTCCTTGGTATCTGTTGAAACCCTGACCTTGGATATAGGGATTTTTCTTCTTACCCAACTTGAGGTGTTTCTTACCTGCTAACATTTCGATGCCTGTGAGACATCTTCTGACCAGCAGCAAAACAAACATGTAAGCAGGTGAAAATGCTACCAGCTATGCAAGAAGAAAAATCTCTATATCCTATGTTCTACCAACCTAATGAAATTTTGGCGAACCCTGACCTTGTGTGACCTTGCCATGTGTCCCCAGATGAAGCAGCTGGAGATGCAGCTGGAAGATGAGCGCAGTGAGAAGTCCAGCCTCCAGCAGGTCAAACGGGAGCTGGAGCTGAAGATCCGTGAGATCGACGAGCGCGCGCCCAAACGGGACGTGGAGAAGGAGCTGCGTCTGAAGAAGGACCTAAAGAGGACGCGGGCCCTGCTGCAGGACGCACAGACCATGATAGAACACCTCAAGATGAATGCTCCGTCCAAACAACAGCTCAAACAGCTCAAGGGACAGGTAAGGAACATCTAAGGAAAGCAGATTTGTACATGAAACTGGTTTCCTTAAATTGTTAAAAATCTAAGTTCTGGACCAGAATAGCAGATTGTTAAGTATACATGAAGGCCTGCATGGGGGGTAGTGATTACAAATTGCGCAAAATTTTCACCACCGATTACGAATTACGTTAAATTCTCAGAGCTGATAACTAACAGTTACATGTTACAGGTAATGGACTGATTATGAATTAAGTTGATTTGGGGTGACTGCCTACGGATTATGAGGACTAAGGGCCTTATTACACTTAATGAAAAAGGGCATGCAGGCCCTCATACATGTAACTCACAGTGAAGTACTTGGTAGTACCCATCGATCAGAATATGGACATTGAGTCATGAAGGGAGCACAAGACTTGGTAGTACTGCATAGCAGTCTAACCCTAACTTCCTCCCTTTCTGTCCAGCTGGAAGACTCGCAGTTCGCATGTGCAGCTGCTGTGAAGGCCAGGAAGGCCATAGAGTCAGAGCTGGAGGACCTTCAGCATCAGCTGGACGAGACATCTAAGGCAAAGAATGAGGTGAGGCAAATCTGCACAACTCTTTACACCCAATAACTTGAGAGTAAACATACAAGCAAATATATTATACTTCCTTCTGGTCGAATTTGCCACCACGGAAATATTAGTGTTCTACAGAAAGATGCAGAAATGTGGTTATGGATGATATAAGAAAAGGAACATTTTGTAAGGAAATGTTGTTGTTTTCAGGTGGAGCGTAAGATCGGTCAGCTGGAGAGAGAGAAGACTGACCTGCAGAGTAAACTGGAGGAGGATGGAGAGGAAATGGCTGAACTGCTGAAGAAACACAAGGCTCTGGTGGCACAGGTAAAGGAGGGTGTTGACATTTCAAGGGGATGGGGGAGGGGGGCTAGTGATTGGGCATATTCAAATGTACCTATAGTTGCATGTAGTAACTGATGAGTTGCAATGGTTATCAAAAGAAGTTATGTTAAAGAGAAAGCATTGAAAGTCTGCATACATGTAAGTAAACCAATCCTCTTTGTTTCAGGCATCCCTGGATAAGACCCAGATAGCGGAGGATGCAGCACACATCGCTGAGCTGAACCAGCAGAAGGAGAACCTGGAGTCCACAGTCAGTCTTCTTCTGTTCTTCTTATTCTTGCCAAAGACTCAGTTCTGAACACATCATCCTTTAGAGACTGATGTTGGTCGTAAGCCTTAAAAGTAAATGTCAAGAGACCTGGTCTTTAATCGTAACAGTTCTACACATACATTGAATGAATGTTACATGTGGATGATTGCTGTTCAACACTGTTATACATGTAAAATGTGTACCTCATAATGGTCTCTTGTTGTATGGCTTTGATATGTCCTGTTTTTGTGCATCTCTCACCAGTATTGTTTTCCTTCCAGGTAAGCGAACTGATGGATAAGCTGACTATCATGGAAGAGGGGTCAACTGGTGTTCCTCATGCTTCACTTCTCAGGCTGGAGTCAAAGGTGAGGACACCTAGCAGGCAGTGCATGAACTGCAGTTTTTAATGATCAAAAAGTCTTCTTTGTTCTGGAAAAAAGGTCACTTAAATTTGTAACCTAGGTGTAGTGAGACCACAGTTTACAGTCATTTGACTCACTTACATGTATAAGAAGGATACAATATGTATGGTATAGTCTATTTTTGGTGCTTAATGTGTTATTTTCTTTGAACTCAGATTCGTGACCTTGAGTCGAAGCTTGACCTTGAGCGCACCACGAAACACCGTCAGGAGATCCAGGTGGGGCGTCTGAAGGAGAACATCCAGCGGCTCCAGGAGGAGCGAGACAACTTGGACGCGGCCAAGCAGCGGCATCAGGAGATCACGCGGCGCATGGAGCGCCAGCTGCGAGACTCACGGGAGGAGTTCTCGGACCTGCAGAGGAAGGAGACAGAGGCCACGCAGAAGAAACATGACCTGGTGAGACATGGGAACTTGTTCTAACTCTTGGCCTAATGTTTTCATTTGTTAAGATACATCTGATTGTTCAAAGATTGGGTGTAACAAGTCGTTTGGTGTAATGTACGCAGTGTTGCTTTGCTGACATTGGCAAGTTTTCAAATTCCTTGTGTTGACCTGCAGGAAATGGAGGTTGCAGAGTTTGAGAGTAAGAATGAGGGTCTCCAGGCAGACCTGAAGCTGGCGTTCCGGCGAATTGCAGAGCTCCAGGCAGCCTTGGAGGACGATGTGTCAGACAGTGGGGATGATGATAGCAGAAGGTAATACATTTTGTAACTCATTCCGCACGTAGTTGCATTCTAGTTTCAAACAGTTATTTTAGATGTTACAAGGAATCTTGAATTTTCGTCTGACATTGAATGTTTATGTTTTCTGCAGTGAAAGTGAGATCTCGGACGATGAAGAGCTGACAGAGCTGCGCAAGAAGTTCCGCGCAAGAAGCCGCGACTGGAGCGACGACAGTGAGAGTGAGAGTGAAGAACCAAAGAGGCCTAGTCGCAAAATTTCCTCGTCTCCCGATGCCACTGTCCCGAAGGAGAACGGAGACTCGTCTCACCGCTCGTCAAACCGCTACAACCTGGATGACGACGATTCAGTGTTTACCAAGAAGTCGTCGTGGAGAGATTATATCAACGAGGACGACAGCGATGTAGACTTGGAGTACAACAGAGAAACCAGGAGAGCGTGGAGAGAGAGCAGCGCAGATGCTGATGATGAGGAAACGGTTGTTAGAAAGCGGGCAAACAGGTCGTCCTTCTCCTGCCTGAATGACATGGAAGAGGAGGACGACTCGACAAATCTCAAGAAGAAATCCTCCCTCATAGACACCAGCACAAAGACGGACACAAAGGTGACAAGGAGTTCCGCGAAGACTGAGACAAAGGCAACAGAAGATGGAGTAGAGGATGACATAGAAGCGTCCATCGAACGGGACATAGCGGAGATGAGAAAACGGCACCTACTTAGCAAGTCTGCCAGTGAGGAGCAGGCAGACTCCCCTCCGGAGGACAGAAAGTGGAAACTGTCAGACGGCACAGACTTAGACTCTTTACTGAAAGACTCCTCCTCCCGACACAGTAGACTCACACTGACAGACGACGAAAAGGAGGAGATATCCACCAGACAAACGCGGCTAACGGATAACGTGAACGACAGTCGCAGCAGTAGAATCTCGGAGGTGAACGAAGAGAACCGCATACGCAAGAGCAGGCTGCTGGACGGCAGTCCGGACGACGTGGTCACCAGAAATCGACGGCTGCTCGATGACGAGATTTCCTCCGACATGCCCAAAGACGGTCTCGGGTCGGGAACTCGGACCATGCACATAGGAGGCACAGAACCTTCAGACAACAGCCTGGACCAGGTGGATGCTGCAGTCTTACAAAGTCCCAGGTAAATTCTTCATTAAACCTTTGCTGTACATGTAACTTGTACCTGTGACTGAATGACAGATGTACATGTAGCTAGGGGTGGCCGAATGTACTGTTTGAGTGAATGGAGTGTTTTAGACATTGTTGTAGTCAGTCCAGTACTTTCCACTAGGAACTTTCCTTCATCTGTTCTATAGCAAATGTTTTATTTTGCATCTTTGTCTTTGCACACTTGTGATTTAATCATAAGGGAAGTGGCAGAAATACACATTAAAAACATTCCTACTTTTCAGAACTTTCTTGTTGAGATCCCATTGTCAAGTTGACTTAAACCTGGTTTGTTTGAAACCCCAATTGACATTTGCCCAACAATTGTGATCAACTTTGTTGAAAATTAAAATCATTTCACTATGTTCCCCATTCACCCCTCAATAGTTTCCCCCTTCAAAAGTACATTGTCCCATGGAATGGATTCTAGAAGTTCAGTTTCATCAAATCTTTATGCCAACTCACTGATCTTGACCTTCTTCCTATTCTGATTTCGATATTTTTTGTTGTTGCTTTGTCACGCTTCCTAAGGAAAGACACTAAGTCATGGTACGTTCTTTCCATTCTTCCTTGTATCTTTACTTGCAATTTGTTTGTTTATGCTTACTAACATTGTTTTTTATTACTTTGGTTTGCTTATCTGTTGAGTTTTAATCTGTACTAATTTCTGTATGAAAACTAATTAATGTCATGCTTGTCAGATTGTACATGTAAATGCACGAGACAGAAATAAACCTGTTATAGTTTGTTTTGTAATGATTTGCATAAACTCAATGTCAATTCAAAGACAAGAGAACTTTGTTCATTTAATAACATCACAATGAAATGTTTTGAAATGTTGAAATGAAAGAATACTGTTGGCTATTGTTGACCAGTGTATAACCATGCCTTTGCTGCACGTTTTCCTTCCTACACACTAACCCCTCTTACCCTCAAATTTACTCTGCCTCTTGTCCTAATGGAGAATGATGGGAAAGGTTTTTTTTACCCCAAGTTGCATGTGTGGACATTTTACATAAGATGTTTGAAATGAATATGTATTGTATCCCAAAGAATGCTTCAAATGAGTGTTAATACTTAACAGAAAAGGACAGAAATTGCATGAAATGATAAAATGCAGTGAGAAATTTGAAGAGATTCTTTGTAGTGTAGATCCTCTATCTCTTGAAACAAATTTTAACTGCACCAAATCTTCAGTAATATTGCATGGCAGAGGTGGCTTTCTAGCCTTAATCTGGTGTTTCTCCACGTGTCTGGTGACCCACTGTTTCTTCTGAAAGCACACTTCAGTGAGAGCATCAGGAGGGATGATGATAGGGCATTTGTTGTCCCTTTTAATCTCCGATAATTGAATTAAAGTTTTAGACATGTGGGACAGTGGGTATTTTTTGACCGTACCAAATTCCAGTCTTGGATGAGACCCATTGTTAAAGGCTTTTTACAGCTTTCTTGTACATGTATGTAAGGGTAGAGTTAAAGACCTACATGTGTAGGGCACAGATCTTCATCAAGGTCTGTCATTTCCCTCCTGGGTTAACACTGAGATGTGCACTAACTCCCCCCTCTCTCTCCTCCCCCCTACGGCGGCCTCAGCACCCTGAATGCTGAAACAACTGTATTTTTCGTCCTGTTTTTCATCGTTCTCTTTCTCTACCATGTTCTCCTCTGACCTGGAAGCTCCGTGTCCTGAGGAGGGTAGGGGACCATCTTTCACTGCTTTGACACATCCTTATAGATCCATTTAAATCCATATTTACATCTCATTTACACATCTTAGCACTCATTCTCTCCAAAGAACATCTTCATATCATATCTATTTTCCTCCATGTCCACACAGTACATCTCTACCATACACTGCTGTTTTTTCCCTACCATTTCTTTTTTCTTTCTCAAGTTATCCTTTGTAGACAATTGGCTCGATCCGATTCCAGCCCTTATTTCTGCCCCGCTTTAACATGGTCCAACAGCTTATGAAAGCCCAAACAGAAGGGGGGATGGAGTTCATCCTCTTTTGAATAAAACCTCCAGCAGTTGCATCGGCCTAATCTGTGTTCTGTTGGCACTTCTCTTTCCTTCCAGACTGCTGTGTACCTTGTTCTTTTCCTTCCCTCCTAAGAGTAAGGAGCAATGCTTGTGCTGACTGTACTTCTACATGTTTTATTTCAGCATGGAACACCACTCTGTTTTAGTAGCGAAGTTTTACACAGCAAACTAATTTTTATGTACCCATGGCTGCTATATATATATACTGCTTATCTCATTGTTATACATGTAGTTGTTCCCTGTTTTAGCACTGTGTTTTTTTTTACCACATGTAGGTACACACTGTAGTTGAAGAACTTGACAGGCATTTCAGTCATATCAAAATTCTACCTTACAACAGCATTAACATTTGTATTATTGACCCCAAGCACTCTTCAAGTGTGGCATGCTGCTAGATGTATGTGTACATATATACATGTATGTGTGTGTGTGTTTGTGTGAGTGATTGTCACAGAGAAGGCAAATTTTCAAACTGCATATATTTTGTTGTCACTTTTCAGTCTTCATTTACCTGAAAGCGCTTTGCTATGCATATTTTCATCTCTTTTCTTCTTCATTAGCACCCTTTTTTGCATTTCTCTCTTTAATTTCTTCTGCCTCTGTTTCTCTTTCTTTTTCACTCCCCTCCTGTGCCCCCTCCCCAGCTCTACTCTCACCAAGTATAGAACAAGGTTCCGAGACCCAGAGCTTGCCTACTTGCTAAACGATGATGATGATGAGAATGACGTCACATCATCACTTACTAAGAAAAGTAAGAAATATTCGGAGCTAGAGGACAAAGATTTTCTGCCCAAATCAAAAACTAGATTATCATCCCCTCTAGATGATGATGACGATGATATAATGAAATTGTTGTCAAAAAGATACAAAGGACGTTCGGGGTTAGAAGACTCTGACTTCCTTCCAAGATCGAAAACCAGGGTGACTTCAGACTTTGACGAAGATTTTGTCCCATCAATGGTAATCTATGGAACAAAGGGTCGCTCAGAGTTGGAGGACATGGACTTTCTGCCAAAGTCCAAAGCAAAGTCCAAAGCAAAAGATGGGGTGGAAGATGACATTTCATCCCTGCTTTCTAAAGGAAAGAAAACTCTCTCAGAACTAGAGGACAAAGACCTTCTTCCAGTATCCAAAGTACAGTCTCCAGTCAAAGATAAAAACCTGGAAAATGACAAAAATGATAGTGTAGAAGATTCCAGTAAGAGTACTAAATCTACAGAAGTGGCAGAAGATACAGACACTATCAATTTATCAGAGGTACAGAAGTCAGAAACTAAAGATTTGGCAGTTGCTGATGAACAGAAGGTGCAGGCTTCGAAAGACAGCAAATCTTTGACCCCAACAAAAACAAAAGACTTGATGGATGATGACGAGGTTGCATCTCTGTTAGCTAAACGGAAGAAGGGCCAGCCTGAGGAAGAGGAGAAAAACGTTAGTCCGGAACCCAGGCAGTCTGTTACGGCTGCAGACTTGATGGAGCCAGACGATGTGGCGTCTTTGTTAGCGAAGCGCAGGAAAGGTCAGAGTGAGTTAGAGAACAAGGGAATACTGCCCAAGTCTAAGGCTGAGACATCGTGGCTGGATAAGGAGCTTCCTGCTATTGTTAAGGAGAAGGCTGTTCAAGATACAACAGCTAAAGACGAGGTGAAAACAAAAGCAGAAAATGAGAATGAGGAAAAGGTTAAGATGAAGGGCAAAACTGCTGAGCCCTCCAGTGAGGTGAAACAGAAAGTAGCATCAGATTTGTCTCCATCCATTCAAGATGAAAAACCAGTGTCAAAGTCTGCAACTTCAAAATTGGTATCTGAAGAAGCAAACACACCAGCAAAGCCTGTTGAAGTCACCAAGAAAGTTAAAAAAGAAGAGCCTACTGAAGATAAAGCAGTAAAGAGAGTGTCCTTCTTGGAGAAATACACGGAAATTGCCCTTGCTAAGGACGAGACATTGCCCTCACTATTAGCCCAGGATACTAAAACTGTTTCTAAGGCAGACAAAGAAACTAAAAATATTTCCAAGGTAGCTTCAGAGAGTAAAGATGTTCCCAAATCTGCTGAAGCAAAAAAAGATTTGTCTGTGGCAGGTAAGAAGAAAACAAAAGGTGATCAAGAAATGTCTAAGATTCAGGAGACTAAAACTGTCTCCAAAGCAAAGGGTGAACTTGAAACTGTTTCTAAGACAGTCCAGGAAATGAAAACAACTCAGTCGGCCCAGGACTCCAAAGCAGTTCCGAAGAAACATGAAGAAGTTAAAAGTGTTCCTATTGTACATAAAGAACCAGAACCAGTTTCCAAAGTTGTTAAAGAGACTAAAGCTAGCTCTAAAGAAGAGAAGCAGCCAAGCCTTACAGAAGCCCTCCGTGCCGCAAACAAACAAAATAACATTGACTTGTTGAAAAGTAAGGTTGAGATTAAGAACGAGCTGCAGAAGATTTCCCTGGATGTCCAGGAACTGATGAGTGCAGCATTCCAACCCAGAGACTCTGACACTGCAGATAAGAAGGCAGGGAGGGTCACCACCACCCTCACCAAGGAGTTACAGTCTCCCACCAAGACTGAGAAAAAGACAGTCAAGGGAGGAGAAAAAGCACCTCCTGCTGTAGATAGCGGTACGTCTCAACCAAAGAAAAGAGTGGTGTCAAGTCTGAAGCAGGACTTGAGATCCCCAACAAAAACCAAAGCAGAATTTCCTTTTGAAACCCAGGCTAAAACGGAGGGTGGCTTTTCTTCCGAGCAAAAAGTTCGGAAGGTTTCCAGTTTGACCACTGAGTTGAGGTCGACGCGCCAGGGTGCCATAGAAAGTAAACCTCCAGAACCGAAACCTCCAGAACCACCTCAACAACAGCCTAACGTTCCCAAGTTCAAAAAGATCAACCCACCTGCATCTTTGGATGGTGAGCTGACTCATAGCTTGTTTGGTCTCATGAACAAGCCAAAGTTCAAGAAAGGGAAACTTGCTTCACAGTTTGAACCGAAGAGTCCTAACGTTGATTCTGTACCAAAGGACTCCAAAACTTCTTCCAGTTTACAAAAAAATGAAACAGCTAAGAAAGAGACTGCCATCTCATCAGACAGCAAAGTCATAAAAACTGATAAAGACAAGATTACAGTTCAGAAACAATTGAAGCAAACAGAGCCCAAAGCTGAAGTGAAGAAAGTTGTGTCTGAAGTAAGTAGTGTTAAAGAGAACAGAAATGTCCCTGGCAGAAAAGGTGGGAGATCTAGAGACTCACCAAAATCCCAAGAAAGGCGTGCGGAGGCATATAAGGCAGCTACAAAAATCAATGAGCCAATAAAACCAAACCCTATCATGATCCGACAACCTTCCCTTCCACAAGACATTGAACCACCCACCGAATTCCCAAAAGAGTTAGTGAAGTACGGTGTCAAGGATGAAACTCCGAAAAAAGCCAGTGGCCCCAAGAAAAAACCCTCAGCTGTCCTACAAGCTGCTCTTTTCTGGGAGTCTAGAGTTGATGTGAAAAGATCGGGTAGTCCTGTACCCAGACCTTTTAGCCCTGAACCCCAAACAAATGGCAAGAAGGCAAGCTCTGGTGGGGTAAGCAAGCAGGGTGCCGCACAGAGTGAGTCTCAGCTATTTTCCACGTGAGTCCACCCATCCTATCCCTTTGTCTCCTTTGTAATACCGGTATGCCCATCTCTGTACAGTCGCTGTTGTGAGCTCATGAGAGACAGAGATGTGTATACCATCCCTTTTCTTCACTTGTCCACCCCTGTATGTGCCCTTGTGGTCCCTCACAGGTGTACTATATGTACAACCTGGACTAAGATACCATACAGGGTTGTCTTTTTACATCCAGTTTGCGTCATTTTTGTGAAACTCTGCTTGCCTGTTTCATTTCTCTTAGACTTTCTTCTTCTTTGTCTTTGCTTTCTACTTTGCTCTTTTTCACAAGTTAGCATGCCAGCTGTCCTGTGTTCTGTTCTCTCATCATGTACCTTCTCTCTTCTTGTGTTCCTGTAGCATGATAAGAAAGCACAGGCCCTGACTCACAGGGTATGTCACACACCCTATTCCTTCTCTCTTGCCTGCAGTTTGCAGTGAGATTGTATGGGGGCTCTCTTTGCCACGGTGGTCAACACTAGGTCTAGCCTGGGTGCCATCCGATTTGTAACAGCAACCCCGATTTTTTTGGGGTTGCCGTTACAAATCGGATGGCACCCAGGCTATTCAAGGTCATGCGAAAAGTCTAAATCTCAGATCGACTCCCAAATCATGTCTTTTGAAGCAATTGAATTAGGGTCAAAATGAAGATAAAGATGTGTGATTCTGACTGAATTATGCAAACAATGCAACGCCCTCTGGTGGCCATAATGGCATTGCATGGTTTGGCTCCTTGACAGTTGGATGTTGTTGAAGAGTGTTGTGATGATGCTGACACACCACACCCCTCCCCCTCACAGCTCGAACCAACCCTCTAACCTCTCTCTCACTCTGTTCTTGCCTCTTCAGACGAGGGATGTACAGATCAGAACTGCTTTTTGGTAATGCACAATTCCCTCCTCTTCTGTACACCTGCTTGCCTGCCTGTGAGCATGCTTGTGAACTGGCATGGATTCTGAACTTGCTTGCTCTCTTTACTGTACTTCCTCTTTGAACAATATCAATTGCAGTGCATGTAGATATTGATGTATGGAAAACTGCTGAATGAAACTATGTTAATGATTTGCAGCGGTGAAGTTTCTAACAAAGGATGCAGTTGAGACAGTGCTAACTAATGCAACAATGGCATGGTATTTGTGATGGACATCACATTAATGATGAAATAAAGTTACTGCTCTGTACTGTTAACTTTGCTATGTTGATAAATTTAATACATGTATCAACACACAGTGTATGCTTACCTTATGTGTATGTCTTGACAATAACCACATTGTTTATAACAGCATGGATTCATCTTTTGATGGCATGGAAGTTGCCTATAATACATCCTGCATTACTTACTGTTGAGCCTCATGACTTACCAAATATTCCCTGTTGTGTCCCTCTGCAGAGTTGAAGTAGCCCCCGTGAGACACACCAAGATCACTAAACACGCTCCTCAGGTTCCCAAGACGTTCACCTCCACCGCCAAAGTCTCCTTCTCTCGCACCCCCTCCACCTCCAAACCCCCCACGTCGCCCGAAGCCCCCCAGCAGCGCAAGAAGTACAGCGATTCCGAGTTCTTATGAAGAGGGGGGTGGGGAGAAATCTAAGTATCTGGGGTAGTGTAAGAACACCTATGGTGTTGTTGTATTTGCTAGTGTGTATACAGAATGTGAAAATATTGGTGGTGATGAGGGGAGTAAGGGAATACATGTATAAGGTTTTTACATATAAGGCACAATCAGGAGTGGAGAAATTATATGTTCCTTTTGTGATATGTGTCCATCTATGACCATAAGATTACAATGTGGTAACCAGCCAATACAATGTATTGAAGCATAGTCATTTTACATGTACCCAGGGTTTATGGTGTATCAATCCTTACTCAAAGAAGGAGCAAGGTCATTATACAGGGATATAATGTCATTGGATGGAGAAAATTCAGAATGTAACAGGTACTAGTTGCACTATAAATAAAGTGCAGTGAATTGTTAGAAGTTAAAATGAACTTGTCTCTACATTTAAAAATCAGTACTGGTGAGGAGAAGGTACGGTAATTACGATTTACGTATTCAACAAGAATGACAGAATATAGCAGTGTATAATCTCTAAACAACTTGTACTGCTTTACTTTCAGTAAGAAATTCAGAAGTAATGCTTTTGTTGGATGAACTAAGGTATCTATCAAAGCAGAAGACAAACAATAGCAAAGATATGGATTATGTTCCCAGTGTTCAATGTAAAGGTACATATAGCAAGCTTTAGAAGGACTTGGAATTGAATATTGGTAGTTGGAGTGACATTATTCACTGTTCAGGCAGTGTGGAGTTAAGAGTAAAGAGTTTTTTTGCTGTTCTGTGATTTCTAGCTCCTCTGTTTTTTTTACCTCAAGTATACAATGTCAATGGTGATGAACAATGTACAAGACTGGCTAAGGCTTGACCCTCTAACTTATATGCTATCAATTACGATAAAAGATAGACTGAGACCCAGTCACTACTACAGGTGTTAAAAGATGATTTCCTAGCTGTATATACTCATTGATGTATGAAGTTTGGCTTGACTGGTGACCAGGCTAGCCCTGGTCCCACCGGTTGCTACAGCTATTTCGATATGGTAGCATTATGCAGAATAGGCTAGGCTATTCCAATGTGTAAGATTTGTCAACATAATATAATACATACTTTTATTATGTTATTGTAATTTTCGTTTTCTTTGAAAAGTTGTGTCTTTCATAGGTTAGACTTGAATTAGGTTTTGGTCAGCTTCTTGATATAGCAACCCTCTGTATCCAAAGATGATTGTGTCCTGTAACGGGTTGTATACATGAATGACACATGCTAGCAAGTTGACCAGGCAGCTGCTAGTATTGTTGGTCTATCTGCAGAAACTGTATTTCCAGTATTATTGAATGTCTGTTCCTTTATTCCTATGCACTGCACTGGTGCTACTACAAACAGATGTAGTGCAGCATTTGCATTATTTCCTCTTTCAAAAATTTGACTGCCATTTCATTTACAACCATACATGTGGCTTGTAGAATGTTGATTAAAAGCATGTAATACAGACCACTTCAAACTGGTTTTGCAAATGAAGCATGTACACTTCAGTTTCTGTGAAAGATTGATTATCTGTTTGTAACTTGCCATATATCTGTATCACTTTACATATCCAGTAGCATCCTTTGCTCTATTATTGTTTTACAGCTGTACCTGGGCATATGGTATCACAGTGCCACCTAGCAGTTTTTGGGTGCATTGCATACAATGTATTGAAAGTGTCACTCCAATGCAATACAAACAAAAAGCTGTAGCATCATCTTCATTCTGTCAAGGAACTTGATTTGTATAATAAAGGTACATCATATCATGGTTAATTGTACTATTGTCAATTTATTTTCTGTCACACAGGTGCACAAGACAAGTAAAACTAGAAAGGTAACATTTGCAAAGCAAATGCATAATGTTTACCTTCACATATGGTCTACTCTGTTAATTCTTACTCAAACACATTCATATATATGATCAGACACGAGTCTAAATCCCTCCTGCTATAAGATTGCAACATTATGTAACCCAACATGATGTTACCATGGTGACGTCTGGTTCAGGTCGTTGACCTTATTTGTTTGGATGAAAAGAAGAGAAGACAGAGCGAAAACAATATGTTTTCTTTCGGTAAACATATTATATATTTCATTAGAGCTACAGCCAAAGCTGTAGCATGGTGACCAGACCATAGTGGTCACTTCTAAGGCTTTGATTTGTCAACATTTGATTTGAATATAATGTTATAAAATGCTGAAATAAATGAAATAAAAATATTTCTGTTGCCCTTTGTCAAAGAAAAGAAATGGCAGAAATATTGCCCCAAAAAGCTCCATATTCAGACGCTCGTACTAGCCGTTGTAGGAATTCTCGTCTCAAAATAAGCATATGGCTGACTAAAACGATTATTCCCTGATATGCCTGTGATATTTATGTAGTCAGGAGAGGCCTCAATGTCAAGAACAAGAGCTGGAAAGACCTGGAGTAAAACCCACATAAGAGCCCATCGCGTTTCCCAAGTCGCGAAATGGCCAAATCTGGGAATGAGCGAGGCTTCTTTAGCGAGATACAGGCCTTTTCCGAACGGGTGCTTCAAAACGGGGGTGTGATAGGGGATGAATTTACTATTTTTTAATTTTAGAAAAATGAAACTTTTGGCATTTTCGGCCTCCTTGTTTTCAGAGTATACTCCGTATGGTCTCCTTTCTATTCCTACTCGTTGCCTTTTCCCAAATTTCCTTCATTCTCAACTTACACGTAAAAATGTGATTTTGCGATCAGCTGATCGCTTGCAGAAATGGTCACAGTCTTGGAAGAAGTGAATTTTCCGTGTCGATCTCATTACCATATGAATGTAAACCAAGCAGATGCATGGTGGAAGGCAAAATCGTAACAGCTTGGGGATTGCCATAGTTATACGCCTGGCAGAGGCTCTGTTTCCATTCATATGATATTGAGATCGACACTGAAAAATTCACAAATTGATTTCTTTCGTATATTGCATGCAGTCGGTGTATTCAGTTTGTAGTCATGAAGGTTCAAACTGAAGGTGTCCCTGTCCTTTGTGCTGAAAGCTATCCCCACACAATGCCCCCCTCCCCTGTTCGTAAGAATATGCCGTGGTTGCCGAGCAATTTCACCTACCCTAGCCTCATAAATCGGCTCCTTTTCTTTGTAGAGGCAGTTCTTACGACTCAGTAGCTTATCTGGATGAAAATAACTGCCTAAAATAGTCCCGTTCGTCCGAAAATCCATCGTAACTTCAGTTGTTTACATGAAAAGTAAAGCGGCTTTATAGCTTTGAGTTTGTTGTCCATATTTGGTCAAAGAGGCAGACGGCATGATTGTTTCTCTTTATTATCCAATCAGGCTCGACGACTCAAACGCGTAGACATGATGAAAACCAATTAGCATCAAGGATACATCGGTTAATGACCCTTTGCGCCATGTATCAAAAGCGACTTCTAACAGTCCAGTCGAACCGCAGGTCACCGTAGAACGCGTTATTCTCTAAGATACGGCGTTTGCCGGGTCACGATATGACCCCGTTGCATGGGTGTAAACAACTGCCTATAGTGCAGCAAAAAGACCTTAGACCTACACAATGTTTACATTTTTTCATATCTACAGGATTTGCCCAGTACAACCATGTAGATAGTTCGTGCATTGCAAAAAGACAGCGAGTGCTACGGCCTTCCAAACATTAGCAATTTTTGGTCAGTTTATTTGTGCATGTCTTTTTTACTATCTAACTGGATCCCGTTAGCTAATACCACAGTGTGATAGCCCACTTCTTTACCTTTACATTGATACCAATGACCCCTGGTAAATTTTATGGCAAACGGGTTTGCCCCCAAAAAAACTGTGACGATGCGCACATCGCGGTGGTCAAATTTTAGCCCAGTTGTAAGCTACTGACACGCACCATCCTGAGTTTCCGCTACATTTTGATACATTTCGCGTAATGTCATAAAATTCGTTTTTTGGTACGAGAAACTGTATGAATGTGGCTACCACATGCAATATAATAAGTGATATGATAACATTCAAGTATATACAAAAAGAGGAATTTAATACAAGGTTCTGACCATTCAAAAATCGTCAAATTTGAAGTCAATCGGTTTCGAACTCCTGCGTTCGATTCATGGAACCAAGGCAGCGCGTTCCATTTTTCGCGCCGCCAACAATGTTGCAACTTTCAACCCCTGTTTGCGAAAGTTCGCAAAAAGAAGGAATCAAGTTTTGTAATCACAAACAGACTTTCTGAAACCCATTCCAAGTCAGACTTATATCATGAAGACGCTAGAGAAAGTGGGATTCATGTGCAACTATACCAATGTCAGTACATATGCCCGATGTTTGCATATTTACAGTAACAGGTCATAGTGTCCGATTTCTCCTTCAAAAATTAGGTCATGAAAAATCAACCTGTTGTTGTATTTGTTCATGTCCAAATTCCTTCTCTTCCTTTTTCATCCGTAAAGTGGGTATCGTTTTGAAGCTTACTATTTCGTCGTTATTCTTTCACTTTCATTTTTGTTCTATGTAACTTTTAACGGAACATTTTTAAAGGCAAATAAACTGTAAAGAAATTACACTATTTCTCAAGGTCGAGCTGCAATACAGATTGTGCAACTTCAAAACTAAGTACACAGGTGTCAAGCCAACATAACTATATTTCAGCCACATCTTACATTACAGGTGTATTGGTTAGAACTAGTTGCAAAAGTTTGCGATTCGAACAAAAATCGTTGAGAATTCGACTGAATGAGCCCAACTTACTATCAGTTACTATATTGTAACAACTACAGGATCCCAAAAGAAACAACACACGATAGATGGGGGAGGGTCTATACTTTATTAAACAATACACCAAATCGACGATGAAATATGGCAAACGGGTTTGCCCCCAAAAAAACTAAAGGGTACCTATCTCGAGTGGAATCATCTCCATCAAACACG